TCAATGAAGGTCTGGTTCTTCTAAACGAATGACTATCTAGCTACTATTTATCCCTCTCGATAGCGGTGGAATTTGAAGCTATTCAAACGATCGAATACTATCGAATATTCGGCCAAGGGTGGCAGTGCTAAGCCAATTCGTAGTCTTCCAAATCGGGTAAGCGGTCATATAATTCAATAGAAGCTATGTATCATGCTAGCTAAGGTTTTTTTTTTTTTTTTTTTTTTTTTTTTTTTTTTTCAGCATTATTCCAATCTATCATGGTTTCCCTGCGTCAAAATTCGGATTGGTTCTCGTGACTACGAATTTATTGTCTCGAAGGGGCTTCTCTGCAGAGAACCTAAATATTTCTCACAATGTTCGAGGGCGGATTCAAGAAGGGACTGCAGCAGATAGTAAGTCTGGAAAAAGAACAAGAAATTGTTTCGGTTCAAAGTCACGAGCTTTCTTGCTCTGGCTATATCTCCGCGACAATCGAATTCAAATCAACAAAACCCAAACACCAGATCTCAGCTGCGATGGTGCTCGCGGTTTACAGACATACTTTATAAGCTGAAATGGTATCTCACATTGTGCAGTTATTTGAACAGTTCCTTGATTGCCCACCCAGATTCCCGAGTCCACCAAAAGCGGGATAGTTAACACTTATTGCTTCACATCTCAGCATGCTATTTCGGCGACTTTATCACCTCAAGGGCACGCAGTCCCGTCGCATTCTGGCAGCATAAGTAGTGAAATAATATCTCCTTTGCGAAGACCACAGATTCGCCAACGAAACTCGAGAATACAGCCACAAGCGAAAACCAGTTTCACCGCCAAGTATACTCATATTGTCTGAGCGCCACAGCCAACATATTAGCCACAAAACTGGGTGCAATCTGCAAACTGGTTTCACCGGCCCGACCCGAAAATCAGGCGACTAAGATGAGTCCCGTGACGTCGCTGCCTGGGACAGAGTGCGCCCCGATTGGCTCGCCTTTTGTTAACCGGAGATGATCCGCGTCAACTTGTGCTTGCGGCAAGTCAGCATTTATCACTATGCTGTCGCCAGGAGGACAAAATGATTGGACTACACGAACACCAATAGCCTGTCATTCAGCACAGCCTTACCCATGGCACCTGCCCCTCTCTCTGTCAAATACGCGCCATCAGTATTCCATTATCCCTCTTTCCAGTTTTTAGGGAAATAGTCGATCAATCTTGTATTTGCAAGCTTTTTAATTATGGATGCCCTTTCCGGCGCTGCTAGTCTTATTGCTGTTATCCAACTGGCTCGGACCATCGTGAATATATGTGGAGATTATATTAATAAAGTAAAATCTGCCAAGAACGATATTTTCAACCTTCAACAGGAGATAAACGCACTTACAGCAGTGCTGGGCATGGTGAAGGAGCTTCTTGACGGACCACACAGCTCGAAACTTGCCGCGTCCGGTCCGCTATTCGACGATCTTGGAAAATGCTCTTCCTTACTTACAAACTTGAAGAGGAGTATTGATCCTGGAACTACGCAGAAAACAATGAGAAGAGTTGGATACCGAGCCATTAGGTGGCCTTTAAAACGCGCAGAGGTTTTAGCAACCATCAGTGAAATTGAGAAGTATAAGTCACTGTTTAGTTTGGCTTTGCAGGTTGATGAGATGTGTGTTACAAGATATAAGCTCCTTGCAGCTTCATAGCTAACTTCCCTAGGATATATACGGGGCGCATCAACCAAAAAATCGACTTAGGTAGATTACAAATTGCAAAAGGTGCGGCTTTTGATTCTTACGAGAATCAGCACGAGGAGTGCCTCCCGGGAACTCGGACAGAACTCCTTAAAGATATTGAAGCGTGGGCTACATCGCCACATGGGAAATGCATATTCTGGCTGAATGGGATGGCTGGAACCGGGAAGTCAACTATATCCCGTACAGTTGCACGCCAACTAAAAGCGAAAGGTTTACTTGGGGCAAGCTTCTTCTTCCGAAAAGGCGAAGAGGATCGAGGAAATGCAAAGAAACTTTTTCCAACCCTCATAGAACAACTAGCGACCAGCATACCCCAGCTGACCCCTAGCGTTCAAAACGCGATCGATAAGGATCCTAATATTTCGGAAAGGTTTCTCAGAGAGCAGTTTGAGAGTCTTCTGTATTGGCCACTACTCGAAACAAAACAGCACGTGGCGGCGCCCATGATAGTTGTGATTGATGCCCTTGATGAATGTGAGCGTGAAGACGACATAAGGCTTATTCTTCGACTCTTGCCACAAGTCCAGAAGTCAAACTCAGTACGCCTTCGATTCTTATTAACTAGCCGACCTGAATTGCACATAAGACTGGAGTTCAAGACTGCCAATAACCACCAGGCTTTGGTCCTTCATGAGATTCCTGAACCAGTGATAGAGCACGACATCGCTCTATATTTTGAGACTAAGTTCACGCAATTACGGCAGGAACACTCCTTTCCTCCATACTGGCCTGGAGAAAAGACTATCAAGGTTCTGGTCAACAGAACGGTGCCATTGTTCATTGCTGCTGCTACAGTATATCGATTTGTTGCCGACGTGAACTGGAACCCAAAAAAGCGCCTACAAGCAATTCTCGCAGACCGGTCCGTTTATGTATCTAAGATGGGCAGCACATATCTACCAGTCTTGAAACAGCTTTTAGTGAGTCAAGATAAGAGGGAGACTAAGGAGCTGGTTCAAGAATTCAAGAAAATCGTCGGCGTCATTGTTGTTCTTGCCACACCGCTTTCGGTCAAATCTCTCAGCCGACTGCTGGAGAGGGAACCAGACGACATTAAGTATCGATTAGCCCGGCTCCACTCAGTTCTCAACACCCCTGATGATTTGGATAGGCCAGTCAGACTCTTACATCTTTCGTTCCGGGATTTTCTTCTGGATACAAAGACAAGACAGGCTGAAGAAACTGAACAGTTCTGGATTGATGAGAAGGCGGTACACCAAACCCTCACTTACTACTGCCTTAAGGTGATGCAGCGCTGTTTAAGGAAGAATATCTGCCATTTACCTGAAGATAGCACGCAACACAATGAAATTGACATACATTCTATTGATCACCACTTGCCGCCAGAATTGCGATACGCTTGCCGCTACTGGACACAGCACCTGGCGGAAAGTCAAGACCCAATGACTGGCTTAGTCCAAGCTTTCTCATTCCTTGAAGAGCATTTTCTTCACTGGCTGGAAGCTTCAAGTGTTTTGGGTATTATATCCGAAGTTGTAGGAGCGATCGCGAGATTACAATCCGTCATTCCAGTGAGTTACTCAGTGGTTCATACTACAATAATACGTGCTGACAGGTATAGAATAATAATAATCCAAGAGTCTCAGAATTCCTTCACGATGCCAGGCGATTTATCCTTAAGAACCGACAGGTAGTTAATACTGCTCCTCTTCAGCTTTATTCATCGGGGCTTATATTTATACCGAAAGACTCAATTATCAGAAAAATATTCAATCACGAGTTATCAGATTGGCAGCAGTTGCCTGAAGTTGAAGATTCCTGGGGTGCGGAAATACAGATCCTTGAGGGCCATTCTGATTGCGTTCTGTCACTGGCCTTCTCAATGGATGGTCAACTACTGGCATCTAGCTCTGCTGACATGGCCATTAAGCTTTGGGAACCTTCCACAGGTGAACTGCAGCAGACACTTGAGGGCCACTCCGATTATGTTCGGTCAGTGGCCATCTCACCAGATGGTCGATTGCTGGCATCTGGGTCTGATGACAAGACCATCAAGCTCTGGGATCCCGCCACAGGTGAGCTGTGGCTGACTCTTAAGGGCCATTCTGATTTTATTCTGTCAATGGCCTTCTCACCAGATGGCCAACTGCTTGCATCTAGCTCAGCGGATAAGACTATTAAGCTTTGGGAACCTTCCACGGGTGAACTGCAGCAGACACTTAAGGGCCACTCTGATTATGTTCAGTCAGTGGCCTTCTCACCAGATGGTCAATTGCTGGCATCTGGCTCTGATGACAAGACCATCAAGCTGTGGGATTTCATCACAGGTAAGCTGCGGCAGACCCTCAATGGCCATTCTGATTTTGTTCTTTCAGTGGCCTTCTCACCAGATGGTCAACTGCTGGCATCTGGCTCTGCCGACAAAACTGTTAAACTCTGGGATCCCGCCGTAGGTGAGGAGTGGCAGACCCATGAGGGCCATTCTCATTGGGTTCAGTCAGTAGCCTTCTCGCCGGACGGTCTACTGCTGGCATCAGGCTCCCTTGACATGACCACAAAGCTCTGGGATCCTAGTACGGGTGAGCAACGGCAGACCCTCGAGGGCCATACTCGTTGGGTCCGGTCAGTGGCCTTCTCACCAGATGGTCAACTACTGGCATCCGGCTCTGATGATAAGACCATAAAGCTTTGGGATCCTGCCACAGTTAGACAGCAGCAAAACTTCAAAGGCCATTCTGATCATGTTCTGACAGTGGCCTTCTCACCGGACGGCCAACTGCTGGCATCCGGCTCTGCTGACAAAACTATCAAGCTCTGGGACCCAACCACAGGTGAACAGCAGCAGACCCTCGAAGGCCATTCTCATTATGTCCAGTCAGTAGCCTTCTCACCAGATGGCCAACTCCTGGTATCAACTTCCGATGACATGAGCCTCAAGCTCTGGGAGCCTGCTACAGGTGAACTGCGGTGGACCCTCAAGGGCCATTCTGATAATATTCTATCAGTGGCCTTCTCACCAAATGGCCAACTACTGGCATCTAGCTCTAGAGATATGGCTATCAAGCTCTGGGATCCTACCACGGGTGAACTGCGGCAGACCCTTAGAGGCCATAGTCATTGGGTTCGGTCAGTAGTCTTTTCACCAAATGGCCAACTGCTGGCATCTGGCTCTGATGACAAGACCATTAAGCTCTGGGATCCTACCACAGGTGAACTGCAGCAGAATCTCCAGGGTCATTCTGATTGGGTTCTGTCAGTAGCCTTTTCACCAGATAGTAGACTGCTGGCATCTGGCTCTGATGACCATACCATCAAGCTCTGGGATCCTACCACGGGTGAGCTGCGGCAGACTCTCGAAGGCCATTCCCATTGGGTTTTATCAGTGGCCTTTTCACCAGACGGCCAACTGCTGGCAAGCTCTGATGATAGGACCATCAAGCTTTGGGACCCAACTACGGGTGAGCAGCGCCAGACTCTCGAAGGACGTTCCAGTTGGGTCTGGTCAAATATCAATACAATTATATCTGTACTAGAAAGCCAGTGGATTTGTCTTCAGGGAAAAAAGGTATTATGGCTTCCACAAGGCTATCGCGTCATTTGCTTTGCAGTAAACAATGGGACCCTTGCTCTTGGTCATGCATCTGGACGAGTCTCCTTTGTCGCAATATTTTAAGTGACTGACTGATACAGATAAACAGTGTCCACTGCTTCCTATATATTCAAATTCTCTTTCCTTTCTTTTCTTTTCTTTTTGTTTTCCTTTTTTCTGTACTTTCTTTCTTTTTCAAAATCACAACCAGGGTACGCCAGGAATATGTTTTCCGTTCCGCTCCCAGATTACATAACGTAATCCACAACCGAGCGAGCCACCCAACCGAGCGAGCCACCCGAACATGATTCTGGCCGCGGTCGAAAACCATGAGATATTTTACTACTATAGAACCAAACCAAAGCAGAATGTCTGAATATTTGAATTATCTAGGTCTACTAGGACAGCTTGTTCTAGTATGACCAATTTAATGGTAATTACTACATTGTGGTGGCGCACGCTTCTTAGCAACTGGTTCCATCATCTGTATAGCTTCTTGGGCAAGTTGCTGGCCTTTAGCACCTGTTAGAACACCTCCAGTAGTAATAAAAGATCTAGGGGTTGCGCGCTTTCACTTCTGCTTCTTATTTACTGCGCGTAGCCCCTTTATCTCCTGATCTAGGAGAAGAACTTTATGCATAGTGGATTTAGCTGCCTTTGTGAGCTGATGGATAGCCTCATTTAGGGGACTTTAGGAGTTGCGTTTAATAAGCTGCTTGATAAGCTCTATCTGCTTTTGTACCTTAGCAGTGGTATAAGGGGTCTTTGCAGTCCATTCTATATCCACAGGTCTATGAGCAGTAGTAGGGGGGGTAATAGTCTTGATAGTAAGCTTATCTAGTACCCTTTGGGGGTCCAAAGGAACTAAACCAGAAGCTATAAAACTACTATAGATATTTTAAGATAATAAGACCTTTCTTGACTCTCTATAGAGATCAAGAAAGTTTTCCTTATTAATATAATAAATGCTATTTTAAATGCTTCTCATTACCTCTCTCCCATATGCCTCCTTTAGGGGTGCAAAGCAGCCAACATTAAGAGGTTGCAGTTTATTAGATAAATGAGAAGGCATATAAAGAGGGATAATCTAATGATTCTTACAGAAAAGATTAAACTCTGCTAATTCATGACTAGCATGGCTATCAAGAATTAAAAGACGATATTTCCTAATTGTATAAGCTAGAGTATGCTTTTAAAAGACCTTTTCTAACCATAATACTCTAAGGTCATTAGTCGTCCACCCATTATCACTCAGGCCGATTATCCAGTTAGGGTTGATATCTTGATACTACTGAGACTGGTGGACCTTGCCAGAGAAGATAATCATAGGGGGAAGAGGCCATCCAGAGGCATTAATGCATTTAATAATAGTGACCTATTCATGATTCCCTGGCTATATAGCTCATACACAGCTTGTTTGATGATGGGATGCAGTGATAACCTTTACTATATAGGCTATACCCATTTGGAAGCCAGTCTTATCAAAGTTATAGATATCCTGTTCAAGAATACCATATTTTATTATAGTATTCTTAACAAGATTAAACTATTAGTTAATGACTTCTAGGTCCTCACATTTTGCACGCTGGTAATCATATTTGCGAGTATATTTTGATATAAGATTATTATGCTGTTTAATAAAGTTGCTGACCTAGTTCTTTCCAGTAGATAGGCCTGGATTTCGATGAGATAGTAAGATATCTGCCATTTGCATACAGTATCCTGAGTTGGTGGTAGGCCGCGCTTATCCATATCCAGAATCCATTTCTTTAGAGAACCCTCTTCTAGACTGCTAAGCTTCTGGTAGTTAGCTGGTACATTAACCCGTGCTTTGCGGCCACTAATTTGATGTGTAAGAGTAGATTGAGGAATATTATATGCCGCTGCTACCGCTTATATACTTTTGAACTGGCCATTTTGGTATGCTTTGACTGTAAGAGATATGCGATCTTCTGATTTGACTATTGAATCTGATTGTTTTGATGCCATATTGGATGGAAATTTGGGTTTGATGATGATCTCAAGGATGCAAGGTTTCAGGGGTTCTGAGGTGGCTCGCTCGGTTGGGTGGCTCGCTCGGTTGTGGATTACGTTAATGGTTTCATGATAACGTAATCCACTACCTAGCAGCACACACCACCAAGCAGCACAAAACATCCTCCCCCTAAGCCCCTGAATAGTTGTCTGATTGCTTCAGTATCACTAACACATTATTATGCCTCAAAAATCATTAGATTCAGCTGCTAAATTAGAGGGCAGAATTCAGCTCGCAATCTAAGCATTTAAAAATAGTTAATTCAAAAGTATCTGTTCAGCAGCTGCAGCATATGATGTGCCACACCGAATACTCACCTACTAAATTAATAGTTGAAATGCACGCCTGAATATTCTAGCAAATAGCTAGAAGCTTAAAGATTTAGAAGAAGCTTCTCTTAAGAAGTGGATTCTTAATATAGATAAGCATGGCCTCCCTCCTACTTATGATATAGTATGCAAGATGGCAAATCTATTACTATCTCACCAGCAGGAGACTGAAACTATTAGCCTTAACTAGGTTTCTTATTTTATTAAATAACATGATGAGATTATATCTAAATACACCTGTAAGTATAATTATCAATGTGCAAAATGTAAGGACCATAAGGTTATTAATCAGTGGTTTAATCTTGTTCAGAATACTATAGTAAAATATGGTATTACTGAACAGGATATCTATAATTTTAATGAAACTGGCTTCCAGATGGGTGTGGCATATATAGCTAAGGTTATTACTACATCCCGTCATTAAATAAGCCGCGTACAAGCTATACAACTGGGGAGTCATGAATGGGTTACTATTATTAAATGCATTAATGCCTCTGGATAGCCTCTCCCCCTAATAATCATCTTCTCTGGCAAGGTCCATCAATCCCAATGGTATTAAGATCTTGATGCTGACTGGCTGATTAGCCTAAGCAATAATGGATGAACTAATAATGAGCTTAGGGTATCCTGATTAGAAAAGATCTTTAAGAAGCATACTGCAACATATATCCTAGGGAGATATTAGCTTTTGATTCTTAATAGCCATGCTAGCCATGAGTCTGCAGAGTTTAATCTTTTCTATAAAAACCATCAAATTATCCCTCTTTATATGCCTTCTCATTCATCTAATAAACTGCAACCTCTGGATATTGGCTGCTTCGCACCCCTAAAACAGGCTTATGGTGAAGAGGTGACAAGAAGCATACAAAATGGCATTTATTATATTAATAAGGAGAACTTTCTTAATCTTTATAAAGTATTAAGGAAGGCCTTATCATCTAAGAATATCTGCAGTAGATTTAATGCCTCTGATTTAGTTCCTTTAAGTCAACAAAGGGTGCTAGATAAGCTTACTATTAAGAATATCACACCTCTAACTACTGTATATAGACCTAGACCTAGAGCTACAGAGGCTAAATAGATTACAAAGACTCCTTATACAACTACTAAGGTGCAAAAGCAGATGCAGCATATAAAGCAGCTTATTCATCACAACTTAGAGAGCCCACCAAATGAAGCAATCTGCCAGCTAGCAAAAGCAGCTGAATCTACTATGCATTAAGTCATTCTACTACAGCATCAGGTGACTGAGCTTCGTGCAGTAAATAATAATTAGAAGTGAAAGCGCGCAGCCCCTAGATCTTTTATTGCTACTGGGGGGGTTCTGACAGGGGCTAAAGGCCAGCAACTTGCTCAAGAAGCTATACAAATAATGGAGCCTGTGCCTAAGAAAAAGTATGCACCACCACGATGCAGTAATTGCCATCAAATTAGGCATATTTGAACTAGCTGCTCTAGTAGATAATAAAAATCTTTTATGCATGAGAATGGCTTCATTTTGATAGTATAGTAGTACGATACCTCCTAGATTCATGACCATGGCCAAATTGTGCCGCTCGGTGGTGTGTGCCGCTCGGTGGTGGATTACGTTAAATGCACAAAGGTGCCTTGCGGCAATTGGGCATCAAATTGGCGTCCGAAAGCATGTGAGTGCCATGGCATATAGCCCAGATAATGATACTGCCTGCGACAAGAGTTATTGTCTCATACAGTCCATAATGTGACGTCTACAGATGCCCAAATGCCAACTCCGCCCACAGATCAAAGCTTAGAAACGGCGGATGAAGCTATCGAGTTCACCAGTCAATGTATAGGCCACCATGGAGATGCACTCATGATGGAAAGCTCAAAGAAGGACCCAAAAGCTGGTACAGTCTCCAGCATTCAACTCCAGTCAACCATCCGGAGAAATACCCCGCCCGTATTATTGAAGAGCACCCTAAGCAACAGAGATCATCGCTTTCGCCCAACTGTCCTTTTTTTATCGCCGTTAGATAATCAAAGGCACGGTTCTTGGTTGATTTGATACATAATACAGAAAGTCATCTAAAGTGCAAGTTATATTTCTGGCTAGTGTCTTAGCTGTGGCGATTAAAGACAGGATGAGTATGTTTGATGGTGAAATTGGGTTTGCTGGCCACTGTATCCCAACTTCGGAGCTGACCTTCCTCAGTAAGTAGGATCCTGGCTCTTTAAGGGGATGAAGTTTGGTCAGGATCGCCTCGACGGTAAGGAGCGTAAAATCACACGCTTTCTTGCTGAGTGGAGGCCAAACAGCACGACTCAATTTCGATTGACTGGTGAGCAATACGATCTCAAATAGGTCTCTGGCGGGGTGGGAAACGAGCTGCTCTTACCCAGGTAGCCTTTCATGATGGTCTATTCAAAAGTGTTCATGGTCTTTTGTTTCTTCTCTTAATATTAAGTTTTGCCATGGAAACATATGAAAAATATTCGACAGTGCGATAAGTAGCCCAAGGTCAGCATACGTACACTACTACTCCCCTGAGCCCGAATACACTAATCTTGGGCTATACACATGGTAATCACATCCTTCCCCACTCAATGAAGCTTCAGGTACAGTGAATAAATTTAAACACCTCAAAAATTGCGATGTATTGGTCAATCAGCATCTCCCCCATCCTGAACCCTCAAGACAACATTTCCCATACTAGTCTGTAAGTACTTGCTATGGAGTTGTTAATTCCGGTGAATCTTAT